AGCTGAACTAACCGGTTATTTCATTTCATAAATGTCCCTTTTTTCAGGAAAAAAAGACCAAGAAGCTCCCAACTGCCAGCTTCAGGTTATGGTATTTGGGGCCAAGAACTTGCCCATGCTGAGATCTGCTGGAATGCCAAACTCATTTGTTAAAGGGTATGTATGAGACCTAATACTTCAAATAAATAGAAAATGTCAGACACATTCTGTGCAAATGTATGTATTAACATGTTTTCATCAGGAGACTGGCATGTGACAGTGGCATTGTCCACACTCTTAGCCAGACTTCCTCCTAATGGTGACATTTGGGTGTCAGCACAACAGCAGCACTCAGCAGGGTGGTGATGGGTCCTGCTGGCTCTGTGGGTCCTGAATGGAACTTCAGAATTTACTGGTGTCATTAAAATTTAGAGTTTGCTAGTTTAAGTATCTGCTCTTGGATATTAGGAGAAAAAAAAAAAGGTGCAAATCAAGAGGGTATTTTGATTCCTGTTTTCAGCTGTGCCTTTGCAGAATTAAAGGAAAAGGAATTGAAAAGGAAACTTCTATCTCCTTCACTCTAGACATTTTAAAAGAGGAGGGACTGAATTTTTCTTCAATGCACCGAGCAGCTTGTATGTGGGATCACTTTACTTTCTTACTGTCAGACATCAGATGCCATTGGAAGTATGATACTGGGGTACACTTACAGCACCTCATAAAGCCATTTCACCTGCTGTGGCCCCTGTCTTCAGTGAAATGGGTGAGCATTTTATCTACTGAAAGGCAGGTTTCAGGCAGTATTGGGTAACAGAATGGAGAGTAAAGACTCCTTTAGCAGTCGGTGACAGCAAAGGAAAACCAGACCAGAAGGAAAAGCAGACCAGAAGAGCCCACTTGTACCCACGCTGCAGGCAGACAAGAAAAGGAGAAAGTCCCAAAATAAACACGCTAGCACCATGATCTGCCTTGCACTTAAGCTGAACTTTTGTGCTATTTAAGGCAAACCAAAGGGCCCTAGTTGATTATTGCAAATGTTCTGTTTGCTGGTTGAGAAATCAGTAACCTTGCTGAACTGTCATTTTTTGGGGGGGAAGTTGTCTTATCCTTCCAGACCAAGCAGAGGTAAAGCGAAAGTCGCCTGTCCTGAAGAAAGAAGCCTGTCCCCAGTGGAAACACTTGTTTGTCTTTGATGGCGTTACCCCAGCTCAGCTACAGCAATCATGTCTACACTTGACTGTCTGGGACCAGGCAACTTTCAGCTCAAGTGATCAATTCCTAGGAGGAGCCAAGCTTGGTGCAAGTAAGTTTGTTATCACTAAAATTTGAAGGTAATTTTGTAAAAAGTGCATTTAGTTTACCTTCTAAATAAAAATATTTACACTGTGCTATTTATTACCTGCTGTCATGTGCCTACATGTACAGCCCCAGCCCCTGTCCTAAGCAGCTTGCCATCTTGAGCTTTGATCCTGCAAGAACCGATGCATGTGTTTTAGTGGAGGTCTGTGCAGAAGCTCAAGGTTGTCAGTGGGAATTTTCAAGAAGGCCAGTTGTTAGCACGGTAACTTTTAGTGTCAGAGCCTGGCCATGCTAAGACAGGCACAGAAAAGTTGGGTGGAGTTAACTTATCTAGACCTGTGTATATTTTTAAGACTTCTTCCTTGAGCTGTTTCCTATGAAGTGTCTAATTTTAAATACTATCTCATAAAAAGAAGCACAAGAACTAATGAGCTAGTAGACCCCAACCTTGCTGAGGTTTGTGCTTACTCTTTTACAACCACAAATCAATCCCATCAATGGGAGATACAAAAAGTGAAACTTGCACAGAAGGGGCTATTGCGCATTTGCGTTTTGGGCCCTGTTTGAACATAAGAACGAGCTGAGAAACCCTCTGCTCACTGACTAGGCCCTGTGGAACTGGTAGTTGAGCAGGGAAAGCATTGTCACTTGAAGACTGCCCAATGGAGTCTCTCACCCCTGTCGTCCCAGGGAGTAAATGCTTCAGTTTCAATATTTGGGATGCAAGGCTCAAAAAGACTCAGGCTCAGGCACTTCATTATGGTATCAACAGGAGCATTAGCACTAATAGTAACTCAGTGCTGTGCAGGCTTCCTCATCATCATCTTTCCATTGTCCTACCAAGCATTTTCCATTCTGCTAGAGCAAAGACTACCTGCTTCTGAGTGAAGATGACTATCCAAGCCCTAAGCCAAGCAATGCATTAAAGCCACTGGAGATGAACTGAAGCAGGAGGCTTGGGCCATCCTGCTACTATTTAGTATGCACGCTTGTTCCTCTGCTTTTAGTCATACAACCAAAAACTACTTCTTTGCTCCAGGCTAAGTTCTTCAGAGAATGATTCTGGTTTAACAGGCTGTAAATAATGCTTCAAAAATGTAACTACAATTTATTGCAATTAATGCCTTAGGAGCTAAAGAACAGCTGAAATTGCTATAGAAGTGGGAGAAGCAGGTGGTTTGTTATCTAGTCAGTTGGGCTAGTCACTCTGACTTTTCCTTTTGCTTTCTTGCAGAAGAAGTGTGTGGCTCTGCAGACCTTGTTTCTCAGTCACTGCTCCAATGGCAGGAAATGCTCCACAGCCCAAACATGTGGATGGACTTTACACTTGTACTGCATTCAAATAAGGAAGACTTCAAATCATGAGAGATTACCGCACAACAACTTTTCCTTCCCCCTGTGATGTTTGAAATTCAAGTGGCATGTACCCTTCAGGTCTGGGGAAAGGTACGCTGCAATAGTACCTACTCCAGCCTTTGGGCAATAGTCATGCGTTTGAAAGTGTGTGATGTTCTGAGGGTTTTATTTCTTCAAAAGTTAAGGCTTTGTTCTTCTGTGTGTCTCCAGCTGGAGTATAAGGTTAGTAGTGTTTCTTCAGGAGTGCCAAACTCAGTTGGAAATGTATTATGCTGGCAAGGCAACAGTAGCCAGATGATCTGCAGTTTTACACTTCTGGGCATAGCAGAACTGTAAGTATTTAATTTAATCACAGCGAGGAATACTTCTTAGAGAAAGTAACTGTTACCTTGAAGTTACATGCTTTTACTCCAGTCTTGATGTTTTACACTAGTTTTCAGTTTTCTCTGAACACGTCTATCTTTAACTCCTTGCTGCAGCTGGGTGATGCTAACACCTCTGTGCTTCAGAATTATCTATGCTGCCACTATTATTTCACATGATCCTAAAAAGCTTTGGCCTGTAGCCACAGGCCGAAGGCATGCTGTGTCATGGTGCTCAAAACCAGCTAAATGTATAAATTCTCCCTCAGTAGGAGTACAGGACAACAGCTGTTAGAAATAAGTGCAGTTGCTCTTATCAGCTGCTGATGTAAGATGGTATTAACATGTCTGATCCATATGGGATACAGCACAGGACAAGAGTTTAGCCAAGGTTATCATTTATTCATGTGAACTGGTAGAAATGCAAGCTTAAGGCCCGACTACTGGGTCAGTTCACTTTGCCTCAGATGTAGCACTACAGCCAGCAGAAGATTCACATATACAACTAGAACTACTGCTGCTGTTACACACCTCTAGTCATTACAGCAAGCATTCTCCTTTCTCCTTTCTTCCTTTCCAGGTCAATGAGGCTTTTAAGGACTTAAGAGTTCAAGACACAGGGATTCAGAGGCTAAGCTCAGGAACTAAAAGAGCAGTAGCACACCTTGTTACACAAAATACATCTCACACATGAAACACTTGACTCCAAGTCTTTTGTTACTTTGCAGATCTTTTATTTGGATGTTTGCTGCTGCAAATAAAAAAACCCACACAAGATACAACTTGAGTATAAAGCAGCATAGATGTAAATGGAAGAGAAGAGCTGACAACATACTGTATCTCACTTTCTAACAGATTTTCAAGGAAAGAGGGAGATTAAGGGGGAAGGAATGGTCACAGAAATGCTCTCCACTAGAGAGAATACAACTGTGATATAAACAAGCAGTCCCTTCATCTTTGGAGTCTGAAACTTTAAATCAAACATTTAAAAAAATTAGAAAATTTGTTAGAAAAATAGGTGCAGTAAAATTGTATATATTGGATCATGTGTACGTATAAGAGTTTTCATTAAGTAAAAAAAAGATCTTTACAAATAATGCTGTATAACAAATAATCAGCTGCACTGTATCAGACTACAGTGTTTAGGCATTTTTACAGATGCAAATCTTATTAAATCTGAAAAGTAACAAAATATACAGAGCAAACTATTTCCCTTTAAACTAGTATTACAATCCATGTATTGCATGTTTTTTATATATATATATAAATACTACACTATAACTGATCAGTAATGAAGCTGGGATGCAAACACAGTAGTGGATTAGATTCCAACAGAGTATTTGCCTAGCTGTTACATGAGGAGGGTATCTGTGTCCCTGTGCCACACTTCTGAGCCATCACTGCAGAATTTCTCCAGTTGAGAACAGCAACCAGGAAAAGCCTAATTTCTAGACAAAGTAGTTCTGGGGTGTTGTCAGTTCTTTTGTGTGTTGGGGGAATACAGGCATCAAGACAAAGAAAAAAAAACCCCAGGGTGTACACACACACGTGCATGCATGTACAAACATACATACAGGTGCTTGCAAATCCTGTCTTCTCAACTGTTGGACTTTACGCTATAAGTAATAATAGAAAGACATATGGCACGAAATTCACCCACAGTTGCTTATTTTGAGACCAAGCTGAATCCAGCACCTGCACAGGACACGTATCTTCACTAGAAGCACAGCCTATTAAAATTTGTCTTGCTTGAAGAGAGATGTGACATAAGGCCTTTTGGCACTAAGCAAAGGCATGAGCAACTTACCAGGATCAGTGGTACGATGAGTTTTTACCTATACCAAATTTAATAGAAAGTATGGTATAAAAGGGAGATTCAAACACCTCTGGGTTGAGAGAACATTTGTTAAGTGTCATACAGTGACCCCTCCTCAGGGGGAAAAAAACAAAACCAAAACAAAAAAACCACACAACAAAAAAAAACCCCACCAAACAAGAACACAGCATTAAGATCTGCCTTTCCCACAGTCCTGCCTTCTTGTTACAAGCATCATTACATCGCCTCAAACTCATCAATTCTCTGCTTGGTGTTCCCTTGCCGGATCTGCCGCAGCGTCTTGTACTTGTCACGTCCCTGTCGCATGTTCTCCGAGTGGATAATGTCATTGTGGGTCCTCTTATTCTCATCTCTAGCCTGGGCCAGCTCATCTGTCAGTGCCTGCAATATAAAGAACATTAAATACAGATTATACACCAGGAGCTTTCAGCTTGTGAGTAGTGGTCTTTGGTGAGAGCTGACAGTTGTTAGATGACCAGACAGATCAGCGATATGAATATAACACATGCTTTCCATAAATGCTATGGATGATGTAAGTAATCTCAAAGCCTGAGCAATGAGAGTAACCTTTATATACCTTGCCTTTAATTCAAACTGCCTAGAGGAACCGTAAACAAAGGCGAACTATCATGCTTGCTTAACCAAGCAGTTAAATGATCTGTTTTCCAGGAATGATTGGAGGAGGTGGAGTAATTGAAACAAACATTGTCTTACCCTCAGCTGCCTCTGTACACGTTCATTCTTCTCTGCTTCAGTAATGCGTTTCTCCTCGTTGCGGTCATTCCTGATCCCCTCGCTGGAGAACTCTGCGCTGTAGGCAGAGTACTCGGATCCTTCATCTTGCAAGTTATCGTGGACATGGTAGTTCACCGGCTCGTAGACAGGCGGTGGGGGTGGAGGTGGAGCAGTCATTACCAGCTGCAGCTCCTCCTTTGTCTTTACCAGGTCCTCCTGGGCTTCCTTGGCCTTTGGGAAAAGAATGAAAAATATTTTACATGCATTTCTTGCTTTAAACCAGCTTAATGAATACTTCCTTCAGTGCTTATCTTCCCCGTTTTTGCAATCTACTATGAAAAGCAAGAAAGAGGGAATTAAATCTGTTACAGTCTTACACAAATCTATCTTTTTTTTTTTTTGCTAGTAATGCTATCATCATCAGGGAATCTGAGCAAAGAATCTTTTTCCAATAAAACACACTCTCGGAAAAATCATTCTGTGGGAAGCTACAGTTATCTTCATCTGAAGAGCTGTAGATATAGGTTCTGCAGAGCAAGAACTTAAATTCATTCCCAAGTTAGCATTTTTAATGCAGTTACCCTAGGCAGTCAGCTGCCCTCCCCTGCGGCTGGCAGCACCAGTCGGATGGCACCAGGAATACCAGGCGCTCCGAACCTTGCATGGTTTATTTTTGGTTTTAGTGCATCAAATCATTAAAATCTCCCAACCCAGGTACCAAGAAGCCACTCACAACAGCATACACTCCTCATGACTGGTACCTGCAGCGTGGCTGCATTTGCAGCATCTTCTCTTGATTGATGTAGTTTTCAGACACTACATCATGGATTAAATGCATCATTTATACATGTGCCCCTTCCCCTCCACGGCTCCAAGATGAAGATCACATTTTTAGGTTTTATACAGGCTTCCATTCTGAATTTTGCCTGACAGCTTGTTGGAAGAAAGGTTTTGCAGGCATATCACACGTTCATCACAAGTCTGCCCTTCTCTGCTGCTGTACAGATGTTTATCTCCAGATGTTTACAGGAGTCACGCCAGGCTAAGCATCGCAGTGTGCTCTGCTCAAGCGCAGAACTTCAGAGCAACTTTGTAAAGCAGATACTCACTCTCATTTGCCATTCCTCAACCTCGCTCTCTTTACGCCTCCTTGCCTCTTCAAGAAGTGCAATCTTGGCTGTATACTCTGCAAGCTCTGTAGCCTGTTGAATAATAAAACTGGAATTATAAAGACTCTTAAAAACCCTAAAACAAACAAAAACTGAAATACAACAAAGAAACACTGTTGACTGAGAAGAGACACAAGCGTTACACGCCACCATAATAAAGACTGAATCGGAAATTAGGAACAAAAAGTGTAGATCGCTTGTGATAGAAAGCAGTTCCACAATGCTATCGCATGTTCCAGGACCTCACTGCACTATGCTTCTCCCTGGAGAACACGGCTTTGCTTTACTCAAAGCACATAGTAACACGCCTGTGTAGCTTATCCTCAAAACAACTGGGTCTTACCAGCTGTTCCTGGCTCTTTATCTGGTCCATAGTTTGTCTCTCCAGCTCTTCCTTAGCCTGCAGCGCGGCCAAACGATCAGCTTCCAGGCGTTCTGCTTCCTTCTGGGCTCGTCTCCTTTCCTCCTCCAGCTGAATGGCTCTTTGGATCTGATCCGAGAGCTCTGGAAAAAGATGGATCAATGTAATTAGTCCACACGCCTGGTCAAAGCAAAGGGACTACAGACAGTCTCTTGGGTAATGGCAGAAGTCACGACAAGCACTGTACTCCACCTTGCAATATCCCTTCACTGCGCATCTCAGTAATTATTTGCATAATGCATCAAGTAACTGAATTCAGAAGTAGTCAGCTGCACATGATAATTAAATCTTCTGCAAGATATTTGCACTGAAATCTGTAACACCGACACGATTCTGCCGCCCTTAACTGCCAGTTTACTGCAAGGACCAGATGTTGCTGCCTCCAATCTCCTCATCTGTGCCTTGAAACAGAAGCTTCTGTTTCACTGGAAAGACTTGTTCCCAAAGTACTTTTTCTGCGAGGAGTTACGTAAAAAGTACTTGCGAGCTGAACTCTTGCTTACTGCTGGCAGAGGCTATACTACTTAAACCCTTCTTGGCAACTGGGGAAAAAGAGTTCATGCCCTTCAGCTCCCAAATACAATCAGCAGATTTTATGCTACTTTCATACTTCGGATGATCTCAGCAGTGTGCGCACATGTGTGTATTTATCCATGCAGGTAGATGTTAGTAAGCCTTGCCAAGAGATCCCAGTGTCACCGGATTTAGGCTAGGTGTAGGCAGCCACCCATGTAACCCTTCTACGGAGCACAACGCACATGGTCTGGTCAGCCAATACAAGTACTTTACCTTTCTCTGCTTTCTGAGTCTTCAACTCATACTCTTGTAGCCTCACCAGCAGCTCCTCCTTCTCCCTCAGCATTTGCTCTTTCTCTCTCTCAATTGTTTCCCTCTTCTTCTTTTCGTTTTCTAGTTGTTGCCTGTTAGAAACAGATTTCACGCTTGAAGCTCACTTTCAGACCTAAATTACAGCCAAGCAAGAAAGCTGGCTGGGCATCTCTGCAGGCAGCTCAATGGGAAACAACCGCCATAAAGCAAGAGCCAGAAGACAGAAATCCATATAGCCTGTTACTTCATCACTTGGGAATTTTTGCTCAGTTTTGGATACCCCATTTCATAAAAACATTTGGATTTTTGTTGCCTGCCACAGAAATTTAGAACACCAAATAGCTACTAGATGCAGGGAGAAGAAACCAGGACTCTGTACTGCACAGCAGAGGAGATTTAACTTTGTTACTTCTCTCATAAGGAGGTGTAAAAACAAGAGCACTGCGGGAATGAAGACAAACAAGCTACAAATAATACAGGAGAAAACCAGCACAATTTCTTGAATCATAAGCAACCTGCAGGCAGGGACAGAAGTCCAGTGGAATTGCTAATCCTTTTTCCTTGCCTGTAAGGGGTCTCCCAGTCCCCTCTTCTCTCTTCGCAGTGCACAGACATGCTCTCCTTACTCCCAGCCATCCCATGGTCCAACACGTAAATCGCGTCCTACCACTCGAGAATCAGGAGAGCCCCTCTCTAGGTGTGCACCACCCACCCACGAGCCTGCTCTGCCTTCATTTGCACGTTTCCTTGCAACTCACTCCACGGCCACAGGTCCGAGCAAAACGAGTAACGCTTACAGTCCCGCTGCAGGATAGCCCACGTCCACCCCGTAAGCCAGAGCTCTAAGGCCATGCATACGCCTTAGGACCGTGGGATGGCTCAGAGCCTTGCCTAAGCAAAACCCACCCCAGGCTCACCTTTCCAGTTGTTTCTGGTGCTTCTCCTCCCGAGCCTGGGCTTTCATCTGCTGCACCTCAATGGTGTCGGGCTTCCTGCGCCGCATGTACAGTTCATGGTTGCCCATGCAGAGCTGCAGGATCCTCTTGTTAATTCTCAGACGAGGGGCATAGAACACAAAGTCCTAGAAAAGAGACACCACACAGTCAGTTTTCCAAGGATGTTTTCTCTTCTCACAGCTAACTGCGGACAGATCATCTCGCCACTAATTTTGCTGTAGTCAGGACACAGACACAGACCATTTAAATATAGCAGCAGGGACTGGTGATATCATCTGAAGCCAAAACAATTGTTATTTATATTCTCTCTTTAAATAAAGTCTCCATAGAATTGACAAGTTACTGTTCTAGAAAAAGTATCTTTTAGAGAAAATTAACAGTCTATTTTAAAGGAGACTTTGTGGAGTTTGGAAATGTGGCAGAAGAATCTGGGTTGGCACGTAGCCATCTGGGTTACTCACAGACCTCTAGTATCGAGTGAGTAGTTTTTCAGTTTGCATCGTTTTGTGACTGAAAGATAAAGCATGAAACTGAAAAGGTATTGCAGACTATTAAAGTAACTTTTTAGAATTTCCTGATCTATTTGATTCAATATTCAAGGCACCATCTGCATTTTTTCAGAGAAAGAGAATACCTTCCAATATCATTCTTTCCTCTCCACGGCATTTCCTAGTTAAGCTGACTGAGGCTGTTACAAGAGTGCCAAAAAAAGCTTTTTCTTTTTTTTGCACCAGCATATGGATTGTTTTGAATATTGGGTTGCAGGCAGTAACAACACACAAGATACTCTAAAATTTCTGGTTCTACAAAAAGGACAGCCCCAAATTTCATATTATTTGTGTTATAAGCAGGCTTTTACAGAAACTATACACCAGACTGGATCTTCTAGAAGTAAATCTGCTAAGAAAGGGATACAGAGGGTGAAGTTCATTACCTGCCTGACGATTTTTCCAAGTCCACAACCAAAGACATTTACAATGCAGTCTGAACTTAGACCACGAACTAACTCTGCACCTTTGTGCCTTATTTTTGTGGACTATGTGGACGGCGATACGGGCAGCGGCCAAGCTGCAGCATTACCACCACAAACCAGTACCCACTCCTTAGAATCCCTCTCCTGTGGATTGCCTCGTTGTTAGCGAGAGGTGGAACCGCGACGGGGCACACAGGTTCTGCGCTTCTGCACAGCAGCGGTGATCGTGGCTTTGATTGCCTGAGCTCAGAAGCACGAGTTGTGGCTATCTCTGGGAAAACTCAAACTCACACTAGAAGCAATGAAAAGCTCTCCGAGTACTATTAAGATGAATATGAATATGCTGCCAAGGACTCATTTTCTTCAATGCGTTTTCCTAACTTACGTACTGACTGCAAAAGAAGGAGACAGCGCGGTGTGCTGTGCTCCCCCACCAAACCCTGCCAGAGCCACCCTGAGCCATACAGGTCCCATACTGCTAACTGTCCCTGTAAACTATTTGTCCCACCTACTTCTGACAAGCAATTTTAAAACCAAACAGTTTGGGTACATGTGATGAACAGGTCCTACCCTGAGGCAAGGCTCACTTACACAGAAGTAAATACTGAGGGCATGGACAGTGCTTGCATTTGTCATTTAAGGCCATAACCAAGGGACAAAACATTGACGTAAGAACATAAAAGAATTCCCTTCTTTCCTCATCCCCAGCCTCCCTCTGGCCATGCACAACTGGGAGCATCACAGCTTGATATTTTAAAGATAATGTGCTGAAGATGTTGGAGTATGCGGGCAGACAGGCCTAAAAATTAAAAAGCTTATTCTGGGCAAGGTGCGCCAGGCCTCTACCCATTCCATTTGTGTCCACTTTAACACTGACTTGGAGCATCCTCCAAATTAAAGGGGAGCTTCCAACCCACATCTTGGGTGGACTAAGTATTTTGCTGTAGTTATAATACTTGCCCTTTTAAAAGGAGACACAGGCATATGAAAAGACCCAGACAACTTCCTGAATGCTTGGAATTAGTGTCCGGATAAATTTTTCTTTCAGGGATAGCTTTAAACGTAACACCACCCGGAGGAAAAAGGACAGTTGACACAGAGGGAGGAAACATAATTGAGGTTTTCAATGTTAACACCTTTCTGTATCAGCCTCTTGCAAGTCTCCCATTTCAAACTCAGATTTCATGTTGGGGAGTGGATGGAAAGCTCTGATCCAGAAACTGGAGATTAATATTTTGTAGTGTGTACAACACGTCCAAGAGGCTCTTCTATTGAGAAAATCATGCCTGACAAACCAGCTTTCTATCTCTGTGGGGTTTTGTTGGTTTTCACTAACAGCATGACAGAAAGAAGCTCCTCTCCCCCTAAACCCCAGGCTGTTATCTGGAGGAAAGCCCTGCAGCACACTGTGCATTAGTAGCCTTTAAACTACCAGGAGGATCTTTTCCTGTTAAAGAGATTTATAAGCCATCACCTTTTGCCAAAGCCAAACTGCTTACTATTTCTCAGGGCTGGACTTACCCACCAAGGCCAAGTACTGGGGTGGGGGAAGAGAAGAAGAGGAGGCCTTTCTCAACTTTTCCAATAGTTTCACAAGACTGACAGAACGAGATCCACCTATACCAGTTAATCCACTTCATGTTCCCAACAGGTCAAAGTAAGTTGCTAATTCTTCACTAAAATAACTCTGAAAACACATTTGTAAGTATTGAAAAACAACATTCACAGGTAGCTACATTTCAGTTCCCCACAGAAATCATATCCCTGCCGTTCATCCCAGCATTCCAGAAGGTCAATGAACACCATGGGCCCTAACTGGCTTTTACGCTTTCAGAAGCGGGGAGGTGAGCAGTGAGCATTAAGATGAGAAGCCCTATGTATCTATGTGGTTTTGCAGTAGCATTTGAATGATTTTTCTGTTTTGGTTGTGGTGGTTTGTGAGGTTTTTGTTTTGTTTGGGTTTTTTTTTGTTGTTTGTTTGGTTGTTTTTGTTTTGTTTTGTTTTCATTTTAATGAACAACAACAGAGTTACTCACCAGGTTCCATGCACTGAAAGAAAGGGGGACAGGACTAGCCTCACCATAACCTGGCTCCATAGAAGACTCACAGAACTAGTGATGAATCGCAGATTTAAGCATAAGGCTACCTAGTTTGCCAGAAAAAAAGGACTCTGCAGTTGTAAAATCCTTGTCTTTCACCATGTTAGGTATCACCATGAACCCTTTATTTATGCTGCACAGAAGAACAGACAGCTATAAATACACCCTAAAGACTAAGGCTCATTTTGCATCTAGAATATCTGGAGCTTTCTCCTCTCCAAAAACTACTTTACTCTGAGCTAACACAGTATTAGTTGTTCATATGCAGTATCCAGGAATCCATTCTAGATATACTTACTGGTGCCTTCTTGTCAATAGGCTTTATAACAAACTTCTTGTCATTGAAAGAGATGTTTCTGATTTCACTCCAGGGGAACCCAATCTTTGGAGTCAGTCTGGAAAGAAAAGAAGTATTTTTAAGAGATGCTGCAATGAACATGTTTTCCCCCACATTGCTTCTAACACACAGACTCAGTGGGATGCAACACCTCTCTGTTTGGGGGAGCGTGAAGACAGCAGTTGAACCAAACACCCACGGGGAGCAGGAAAAGCAGCCCAGTCACCTCCCTTACTGAGTCTCTTCTCATTTCGGTCAGCCACCCTACTGACCTTTGGCTGTGCAACAGGGATGGTCTCTACTGAAGCCACACACTCAGCTTTACCAAACACCTGCTTTAAGTTAATTTCTTTGAAAACAGGGCCCAACATCCACAGCGTGCAGACTTTGGGAGTATGTGCTGTGCTTCCTGGAGGCTCCTCGCGCATCATGGGAGGCAGAAGCCAAAGGAACTCAGCTGCTCCCCACACCTTTTGGCACCCATGGAGAAGTCCACCCTGCTGCGTTACAGCCAGACCAGCTACCTCCGTGCTGCCTTCACTTCTGAAGCGCTGGGCAGGCACAAACACAATTGGTAGAAGCAGATTTCTTGTCCTTTGTTTCCTCCCCTAGATTACAGGCGAGGCTAGTAGCAAAGGGCCCTGTTCTTTCCTTCCATGCAAACTGCTCTTTCAGCCCATCCCACCAGTCACCAAGCAGAACTTTACACGTCGGTCGTGCAACGAGCTGCCCCGCGTGGCTCCCTCCGACTGGAAAGCAGCCCTGCGAAGCAAAGGGCAAGATTCAGACTCCCAGCTCTTCCTCACTGCTTAGGAGTTCAGGTCTGTTGGTTTGTTTAAATTTACTTCTCTAAGCTTCACTTATCATTTGAGATTTTCCTTTGCTTTAACTTCTTGAGACTCTTGCATATAAAAAGCATCAAGTTATTCATGACATCAGACGTCTCTGAGCCATTCCAGTACTTCAGCCTTACATACCTGCCCAGCTCCGCAGCAAGTTCTGATATTACAAGAACTTGCACACTTGACTCTAACTAATTCCTTTAATTCCCCCCCAACCAAATATTTAATTTTTTACATTTAATACCACATTATTATTCTTCTCTTATCAAGGGAGGGTATATTCTCTAGAGATAGCAGTTAACGATTAAGAATTGTGTCCTACATAAATGATAATAAGAAGTAGATTGCTTGCTGGTATCTCACCCCTCCGATATACATGTCTCTGACACACACTGAAGTGCTGACAATTATTTCTAGCAAATGGTTTGAAGACACAAGTATTTAATGTTTAGCACTTAGAGAAACATCTGTCATCACGGTGAACCGTTCGAACTCTGTAAGAATCCTTTCTATGGAGCTCTTTGGTTAAGGAAAAAAGCTGGCAATTTTGGAGGAATTTGACTCATTGTCAGAGATGGAAAGCTATTACATAGCAAAATTTCGCTGGGCCCAAGCCTAAAAAAACACAAACTTGCTTCGTTTAAAAATCAGACTTCAAGAATAAAATACATCCTCTTCAGAACTTACCATTCCCTAACCCGTAACTCAACTGCAAGCTTATGCAACAGTGTGTGTGTGTAACATTAAGAACTGTAAAGAAAATGATTTGATTAGACTGAGATTAACTAATTACTCCAGCCTCTGTCATATTAGCTTAAGTGTTTCAACCCTAGATAATACGATATGATGGACAACTAAAATAATTCACTTCATTAATAAGCTCCATTGCAGATTCTCCTCTTTAATGCAGGGGGGAAACAAAAAAAAAAAGCTTGGAAATCCCTAGAAGAGGGGGACACTGACAGACAGGGCAGTCCAGAGGCTCACACCCCCATAAAAAACGAAACCTTTGCTTTTTCACCTTTGCCCCAGTCCCCAAGTTTCGCACGTACAAAGCAGAGGCGAGGTACGCATTACTATTTTTCTAGTCCCCGTATCTGCTCAAAAGACTTAATTACATAGTAGCAACAGTTACAGCAGAAACAAGTAGTTTATTCCAGCGCTGTATTTGTTTTGCAAATGCTCTTGATAGCTCCTTACAGTCAATGGCCATATTCTGTCTGCTGTTGCAGCTCGAAAAACCAGTTTGTGTGACCATGGTTACATAGCAAGACTAGTCATTCAAGACTGAAGTATTACATGAGTGAAACTACTTTTCTTTCAAGTGACACTCCTTGTTTTCTGGGTGACAGCACATATTAGCATGGCAGAAAAGGCTGCATTTCTCTTTGCCATCTTAACAGAAGCTCCAGAGAGTTCCAATTAATATTTGGGTTGCATTCAAAGCTTTTGGAGGCAAAGATGTAGAACAGGTGAAATCCCTTCTGTATTACAATGATAGTCTGGTACAGATTAGTGACATGAAACCAAGACATGGAATGCAGAGGGGGGAGAAGAGAAAAAAAATAGAAAGCAGTCTAAACAGCAACCCTTCGTCTAAAAAAAAAAGTCTATTTTAACTCCCCTTCAATCCTTCAGTTGTGGAGTATTAGAAGAGACTAGCAGGCTTAGACACAGCTGTTCTCTACCTTGCTTTTATGTTTATTTATAGATGTACTCTATCATTTCCCACCTACTAGCCAATTAATAATGGCTCTGCCTTTACCAGAAGGGCTGATTAAAACTATGAGTACCTCAGCAAGACCTCATTTCAGTCCTCGTTCATGGTAACTACACAGGTTAACTCCTTCCTGGGGTCTGGGTGTTATCCAGCTTTGGCTTCATGTCCACCCCATAACCTGTCTTTTTCAAAACCAGGCAGTTGTACGCACATCTATCGTTAACTTCAGTATAGAAATGGCCTCAGATGTCCAAACGCTCTGCAGATATGTTAGCCTATCTAGGTTCTCATCCTGTATTCATGCAAGAAAAAGCTTGGTAAACTCCTTAGTTCAGGGTTGCAGCTTTACAACTGTGCACGATTTACCAGATGGCATTGCACAAGTGACATCTCTCTCTATACGGTAGGTAGCGTTAGCAGCTCAGGCTACAAAGGTCAGGAAAGTCATGAAAGCATAAATGATGTGAAAGCTCATTTCCTACCACAGCTTCACCTACTGAGCCAAAAGTGGAACACGAGCAAGTTCTAAACTTTGCCCTGATTCTGTAAATAAGAAATGTCCCTTGGCTCCCACACTAACCCTTGCTCTGGGAGATCAGAGGTGAAAACAAAAGCCTTACTTATCATCCTTTTCATAGATGTTGAGCCCCAAGGCATCAACTCCCAGCCAGAGGTCAGTTCCTTTCTTATTCTTGATTTCAAAGTAGTTGATTCCATACATCTCCAGGTCTTGAGCAATCTTCAGGTATTCTAGCATGGCATTCTCTCTGGTTGAGACAGAAAGGAGAGCAGACGTTAGCCTCATTTATCCGACTATCTCAGAAAGCACAAAGCCCTCAGAAGAAACGAGTAACTTTTCCTAAACCCGCACATCAAACACAGGAGTCAAAACTGAACACTCACCATTTTGGATTCACTTTAGAAGTTATGATATTACACCTATGAACACACACAAAGAGCACTGTGGTGTACAGTATCTGGACTTTCCCCATCGGCCAATGCAAATGCTTCAATGAACATAAGGTTAGGCATACACTTTTTTTTCCCCACTCAAAGTCATCACTGATACACTGTACCTAGGTCCAGGATCTTCAGGAAGCCATCCAAGACACTGTTCACAGCACCAGTGCAAACATCCTACCGAGTTTTACCATGTGATTTGATGCTGGACTAGAAAATTACACCAAGAGTTCCCCCACACAGGTGATTCTTGGAGTCTATTTCAAAAGCATGCTGTAGAGCTGCAAGCTTCAAAGCGACCAGCCTAAGGACCAATACAAAACACTTACTTGAGCATGCCGCTGTGTTCAGCATGCCACACCTGGATCCGTTCTTCCCACTGCTCTCTGGAGAGTTTATGCTGGTCCATCACCCTACGCAAAGCAAGGGATATTAGCAAGATTAGACTTTATGCTCTGCACTATTCATTGATGCTGAACTTTGCTACAGTCTTACTGAAAAATTAGTCCCACCCATGAAGCCTTACTGAAACCAAGAAGAAGATCCTACTCAGCCTAAAGACATATTCAGTGAAGCAGAACAATTCAGAATGAAAAAAACCTCTCTGCAAGGCCTTTCTGGTTGCTGACGAGAGACAAGAGGCGTAAGCAGAACACTGCAAAAGAATCACGTACATGCTGTAGACATCAGAGACTTAAAGCAAAGCAGAAGCTGGCGTCATTCCTGGTAGACACTGCTGCAGAGCGTCATCAGGAAGTGTAAACAGAAGCCATTTGTCTGCTAACATACACTTACTCTGCGTGAGGATGGACTACGTAGCCTCAAGACATGCTTTCCAGATACAAGGTTTTTAGGACTGTACGTTAGGATTAAGGACACCTAGACCCAGCCTTCTCCAGGGATGACACATTCTTGACTGAATGCTGCTCTTTTCTTCTTAAAGAGTAGACATTCATACTGCCAGTTACCAGCATGGCAGCAACTTTTAGGAAAGAGAAGCCAAATTCAGAAGTATACTTCCTCTCCCTAACCAACCCAAGCAGAGAGAACAAAACCATACTCTAACATGACAGAAATAAAAGAAGGAAAAATCCCAAATGCATACAGTTCAATTAAAAAAAAATAAATAATGCTTTCAATGAAACTCTTTGGGTCTAAGTAGAATGCAAATTCTTGACTTAAAAAAAAAAACCAAACCACAAACCAAAAACCAACCAAACAACAAACCAAAACAAAAATGGGAGACTGCATCAACCAACTCCTTCACCTTTGGGGGATCAGACGCTCTGAATTGAGGTATCCAGGCTTGTGCACATCTTTGTTATAATCTCCAAATTTGGCCTGCACAGCATAGGAGCCAAGAAGTACTGCTGTTTCAGGAGGACAGTAGATCTCATCGCTGAGGATCCCTTCCTTCACCTGCAGGAAGAACAGCTTCTGCGTGATGTCCTGGATCAGCTCTTCAGACACGTCCTCTGGGAAGAACTTGGCACGGAATTTGAACTGGAGGGGATTCTCCTTTCTGATTTCTTGAGCAGAAACCTGAGAGCAGAGGTGACACCACAACTGAGCAGGGTTGCAAACAATTGAGTAAATTGCTTTTACACAGAAAAAAGGATTTGGGGCATCTGCCTTAAGAGGCGAGTGACTGGCAACTCATTACTGGCTTTCCTTAATTCGGGCTCTGTACTGGTATGAGAACACAGAGGAGACGCATTATGTTTTCTAAGCCAGTAAAATTCCGTTTGCACAGCAAACCTTGGTCACTGGAGAATGATTTACCATGCTGTATTAGATGGCAAACCCATCCAGTACTGTATGTGTTTGACAGCGAACAGCCCCCTGACATTAAACAGGTATGTCACCAACTGCCCCATCAAGAAAAACAGTTCATACCCTTGTAAGAACTGCAAATCCAGAAACAAGAGCACATCAGAGGCATCAACGCTCAGTTAAAACTGCTCAGCCTTGAAGTGACCTATCTTTCCAATTAGTGCAACAACTGATCCTGCGCAAGCAGAGACTAAACCCATCACTAGCCAAGATGCTTCTCCAGTCCCAGCAAGAATAGCTGCTTCTAGCCAAGAAAGTACAATATCAAGCTGCTGTTGTACATCTGACAAATGCTGTAAAGCTTTCTACAATTCCCACAGAAAGGGCAAACTTCCACCATGCCACACCTCACCCAAACTGTTCCCATGGATGTCAAAGTTCTCTCTCTCAACAAAAAAAAAAAAACAAAACACCCTGGAGTTATGAGAATTAAGGAACAATCAACAACAGGTACAAGGTTTATAAAGTTGCAGCCATTAACACATCAGGAATCACGTAAGCTTTAACCTTTGTTCAGCAATTAGCCTGAAGTCTGTTACCTTTTTATCAAGCTTCAGCCAAGTCTGGAATCCTTTGTTGTCCACATACTGAAGACCAAAGTACCATACTTCTCGCAAACCTATGGTTTTAACCACCTGCAACAGAAAGTCCAAAAAGAAAAAAACAAAGTTATTGTAGGTAACATTCACTTGTAGTCCAGGTATCCTCTCAAGTCCTGCATCACCTGTGGGTGCAAGCAACAGCCTAACCTACTCACCTTCATTTCATCTTGTAGACAAAGACATACAGCTGCCATAGGAGATGACAGCACTGGCATCGGCTAAGCTACTTGTCCCACCTGGTTCCCAGGAAAAGGTGTTTCTCGGGAAACTGGGACACAAACAGGGCAGGTGACAGGCCACCAACTGCTAGCCTGGTACACCGGCAGCAGGTGGGGCTTCTGCTTGCTTCTATCTACTGGCCCTTCTTAAAACTGTACTTGGTGAAGCAGACAAGTTAGTTCTCTCACCAAAGCTTACGGTGAGATGGTCTGTAATGGTGTTAGTACTAACTACAACTAGTTAGCAGTACTAATGGCTCAAGTGATCTTGTCAGCCAGTCACCAAAGACTATATGGCTGGAGGAAGCAACCGAGGGATGCTTCACGCAGCTGCAGCAGTAAGCTCCCTGTGCGGTTTTGAGAATTAAAACAAGCTGCAAGTATTCTCAGATGAGGGTATTATTTTTTTTCAAACTCACACAAAGGCTAGCTTTGAAGGACAAAAATAGATCGATGGCCCAACATCAGGACAAGTTTCACATACTGTAAATACTAACCAGCCAAAAGATCCAGAAACACCATCCATTGAGCGGACGGCACACTTACTAGTGAAAACACGTTCCTCTTCCTGAGTGGAGGACACAGCCTAACAAGCTCCTGACCTCCTCCTACTCTTGACCGCTTGTTCTTATAACCCAGTAGTTTGCTGCCAGCTCATCTACCTGTAAAGCTGTGCTCTAGACAGAGCCGAGATTTGGAAAGATCCAACTACATACATATCTGGATCACTTCCTTGATGCTATTTGCAGAGTAGCCCCTTAAAAAGTGATGTAGGCATCACCACAGGGAGCTGAACTGAGTGGAAGAGTTCTAAGAGCTTTTTAAAACTACTTTGCAAATTAAGAAAGTGTGACAGACTTGAGAGGGTGTAGTCACGTGTGCTTCAACGAGTCTAAGATCTCAACCAAGGACTTGTTTCACCCTCCCTATTTTTAGTATTGCTGGAGACACTCTGGCTGCAGAGTAGACTCCAGAGACACAATGATTTTAGGACACTTCATTACTTTTTGCTGTAGTTTCCCCTTAAATTTTCTTATCAGTGGGCTAGAAGCCAGCAGTCTGTACCTGGAAGCCAGAGCTTCCTGGGGTCGGTAAGGGAGATAGGGAAAAACGTACCTCTCTGATTAACACCCTGAGAATTACTGTTTGTGTGACACTGTTGAATAACAGGCAATCTAGAAAGTTTAATGGTATAAGCAGACCAAGAAAATTGCATAGTAGTATGAAAAAATGTCACTAAGCAAATTTAAGTTTTAAGGATGAAGAGGTCAGTGCCTACTAGTTAAGGAAATGGGATAACTTCACTGTGCACTGTATTCAGTAGCCTACAGTTTATCTACTTCAGCAGGGTCATAAATAACTAGTTATAACTAGCTAGGGTTCATGTAAAAAAAAACAAAACAAAACAAACCAACAAACAAAAAAAACCCCAAACCCCACAACTTTTTAAAAACGAGCTGGGGTCTGAAAATACTTCAGCCTTTATTTGACTAAAATTCCTCTTCCCTCCTCCCCCAAAGTGGCTTGTTTCACCACAGAACAGACAAGTTTTCTGATAACTGGATGTATTTTTAGAAGGGTCAGAACTGGGCTTTACTCAATCCAGCAGAAAAGCAGGGGTATGTTGAGCATGGTACTTCCTGTTGCACAAAAAAGTGTTGCAATTTTGTTAAAATAAAGAGTTGCATAAATCAAGGAGTTATCAGGTCATTATCTCTGGATATCTCTTACAACAGAAAAAGTACATTTTTTCTATAAATCAAGTTAGAAAGCGTGCAGAAGTTATGATCCCTCGAGTTCTTCCCAAAACCTAAAGGCAAGGATGGAGAAAGCAGGAAGCTAAACTTCACAATTTGACCATTTGAGTTCCAATACAAAGAACAGACAAGAATGTTTTAGGCTGTATTCTGGGAAATGGTTTGTAAACTTCCTCCATAGCAAAACGAGGAAGAACCAAAAACCACGGCATCTTATTCAAGACGGGAGAAACTTCCCCCCCGCCTCCTCAAATGCATGAAACAGCAAATCTTAAGTCTGACCGTTCTGCCCAGAAATGCATTCACTCCCAGAAACTGCCAGTGCAACTCTCTCCTCCGTTTGAATTTCTTTTCCTTGTCGCCAGGATGGCACACGACTGCCTGGGATATATTCCAGCCCACTGCGTTGGTTTTTGGGACACCTCGGACCGTTGCGGCTTAAACTCTGCACAGGTCTGGCTTGAGCGGAGCTGAACTCAATATTCACAGGTTTCCACTGTTTTCCCCTTTCTATAAAAGGGAGCTATAATCCACCTTACGTGCAGGATCCACTTATGCTAGCAAAGCCTGAAGCACAAGGGCACTGCCAGGGTAGTTTTGCTAGCTGACAGCCAGGCCAAGAAATCATCTCCTGGTTTTTAAAAATAACCTGCTTCTTCAACGCCCTTTCCCCCCCGCCAGTGGTTCTGCAGTTCAAGTTGGGCCACTCCCCATACCTGCAAAAACCTGTTGCCTCCACAGGCTTTATCTGAGTGTAAACTCCACCCGAGATAAGGGCCGAGTAAAAGGCTTGCACAGCAGAAGTGGAGAGAGGATGTCCGAACAGTCGCAGCTAAACACATGGTCTTCACCTTCCCTGCTTCTGTGCTGCACACGTCTACCTTAGTCTTCTCCTGGTATGCAGAAGTGCAACCCCAACAAGGTATGGACTACGGACAAGGATTTCTAATCACAGGTTTGAAACCCAAGCCACAGGACGTAAGGAGCAAGTCTTCGCAAGGTGATAGTCTATCCCAACAGCGCGATAAGCGCTGCAACAAGTGGTCTTCAGAAACTTCAGAACTACCTGGACAGCAAGCTATGAGTGTCTTGGACCTGAAGAATCCTGCCTTTTTCCATGTTCTCAGAATTTTGTGCTTCTTAGCTGGGGGTGAAAAAAGCAGTTTCTCTTCTGTCAGACAGATGACTCTGACTCTTAACAGATGTAAACACTAGTGA